CTACTGTGTGCTAGATGACGGTACCCACAGTGTCTGATGCCAAAAATGTAGTCTCATAGAGGGAGGGAGAGAAAACCCATTTAAAAAAATGTAGCCTCCCTCCCCTTCAGGAACTGTCTTCCTTCACATATACTTTATCTTCATTTCTGCTTCTCACTTAACAGTTACTAACTCCTTCTACTTGGGCTTTAAGTTTCTTCTTAGCCTGGCTTCCCTGACCCCAAATAATGAATGAGCTATAAGCTAACACACTGAACCCTTTTATATAACAAAGCTCTTCCTGTATTGCCAATAATCACTCTATAATTCAGCATGTTGTACACATGAGTTTTCACAAAGAGGTCTACCCCAATAAAACACTGAAGTGCTTTTCCCAGGAAGTAAAAAGGCAACCATGGCATGCTGAAAGTGAGCCTGGATAATCGATTAGAACAGGTGGGATGTTGCTTGTCTTCATAAGGGTCCTTTCTCCTTGCTGATCTCTTCCTTCCTGTTTGCTTTTGATAGATGCTTAGGATTAGATAGGTAACCTGGGAATTAGTCACATGGAACTGAAAGTCAAAATTTATTGATACAGACCATTTTATTAGACTATGGATATATAATTCCCTACAAAACACTGGGTTTATGTTTTCTTCATTAATCCTGCACATTAAATCAACTTGGATAGTTTCAAGTATATTACTTGATTCAAAAAATGCTTTTTCCTTATTTTTATAATGTTCCCAAACCACATCATCCAAATACTTCCTTAAAGGAAGGTGTGAGGTAGTAACAGTTTAGTTTTGCAAACTTGCATGCAGTTACTTAAAACAATGAAAAATTCTCCTGCTGCCCTTGAAATGCACCATATAAATACTGCATTTGATCCTTAACTTACACTGTATAAATAATTTATTTCAAAAATATCCCTCCATAAGACCATCAGTTGCTGAGGTGTTCGGTTTTCGGGGAAAGCATTTATTTACTGCATGAGCCCAGGAAGGCTGGTAAAGACTTGGCTAAAAGCTCCACATGCAGCGAATTATGGTAATTGTATTAATGCTCAAATCCACGATGCTCTGCTCAAATCTGCTAAAAGGTTTTGCAGTATATTGCCCACATCTTGACGGGCAATGAGTCCACTGGAAATGATTAACACTTCATAGAGAGGCTTGCGAGATTCATTTTTTATAGCTCCAAGAATTGCTAAAGGATATCTGGTGGCAGCTTCCAGGGGAGCCTCTGAAAGTCACAACTGAGAGTTAACATCCTCCTTAGCTTCTTCTACTTTTGGTTCAGACTGAAACTCCAAGTTCAAGTCACCAGAAATGAAAATCAACGGAAACATCACATAATTAATTTTGACAAATGGGTAAGTTTTAATTCATGTATGGCAATATGCTGGTTAATGATATGTCTCCTCAGGACATCCATTAAAAATCCATTAACTTAACAGACAAAATCTAATAAAGTTACTCTGGAAATTTTCTGCTAAATTAACATTATGGACTTTTAATGAATATTTCCTGTAGATATTGCTCTATTAGCAGAGCTAATATACTAATCAAACTAAAAAGCTTCTGCAAAGCAAAGGAAACCATCACCAAAATTAAAAGGCAACCAATGGGCAGAAGAAAACATCTTCACAGCATATCCAATAAGGAGTTAATATCTAAAATATAAAAAAACTCACAGCTCAATGGAAAAAAAAAAAAGGCAAAGGATCTGAATAGACATTTGTCCGAAGAAAACATACAGATGGCCAACAGGCACATGAAAAGATGTTGAACATCACTAATTATCATGGAAATGCCAATCAAAACCACAATGAGACATCACCTCATATCTGTTAGAAGAGCATTTATTAAAAAGATAAGGGACAGCAAGCCTTGAAGAGGACATGGAGAAACGAGAACACTCCTTCACTGGTTGTGGGAGTTTCAATGGGCTCAGCCACCATGGAAAAGAGCACGGAGGTTCCTCGAAAAGTTAACCATAGAACTACCATAAGATCCAGCAATTCCATTTCTGAGTATTTATCCAAAGAAAACTAAAAGACTAATTCAAAAAGATATTTACCCGTATGTTCACTGCAGCCTCATTTACAATAGCTAAGATATGGAAACAATTTAGGTGCCCATCAGTAAATGAATGGATAGAGATGAAGCATACTGATGTACAAAATACTACTCAACCTTAAAAGAGAATAAAATCATGCCATTTGTGACGGCATAGATGAACCTGAAGGGTATTATGCTAAGTGAAATTAAGTCATACAGAGGTAGATAAATATCATATGATCTCACTTACATGTGGAATCTAAAAGTCGAAGCAAAACAAAAATACCCAAAATGAAACTCACAGATACTGAGAACAGTGGTGGTTGTCACGGGGAGCTGAGGGGGGCCTGGGGGGGTAGAGACCTCCAGTGTGAAATGAGTAGGTCATGGGGATGCTGTGTGCAACGTGACTCTAACTAATGGTATTGTGGTGCACATTTGAAGGTTGTCGTGGTAGTGATAAAATTCTCATCATAAGAAAAAATGTTAATTTGTAACTTTAAACAATTTTTATTTATTTATTGATGAGAGAGAAACATCGATTTCTTGTTCCACCTATTTATACACCCATTGGTTGATTCTTGCATGTGCCTTGCCGAGGGGCCAAACCCACAGTCTTGGTGCATTGGGTCAATGCTCCAAATAACTGAAGCCCCTGGCCAGGGCTAATTTGTACCTTTTTATAGTAACTGATGATGTAGTGATCATTTCACAGTGTGTACAAATGTCACCTGAAACTAACAGAATGTTGTATATCAATTATACCTCAATAAAAATTTAATAATATAAAAATTAAAATAACATGAATCTTATGCGAAGGGAGGGAAAGCATCAAAAAGTTAAAATATACTTAGAAACACACAGTTAGTGCTAGAACTACAACTATCCTAACTCTTAATCCAGTGATTTAGATCTAATTTGGCTGTACCCCTCAATAACAGGGGTAATTGAGACACCTAGTCCCGAACATTCTTCACCAAGGCAGGAACTCACAGATAGCCTCTAAAACACCAGACCAGGGACTGAGGACATAGTGACCATGCCTTCGCTCTAATGACCCATGAACTGTGTTCCCTGAAATTCATATGTTCAAGTCTTAATACATAATGTAAGTGTATTTGCACTTATTCCAATGTAGCCAAGGTTGGCTTTGGGTGTTAAATATTGAACTGTTGCCTAATCCCTCTGGAGGCCAACCGAATAGCTTCATCAGTTCCTGCGATCTCATATATTCCAAGGAGACAGCCTGCTTTGGCAGAAAAGTATGGAGTCAGAGACCCAGTTTCTAATACTGAGTCTACAACTTAATAGTAGACATGGAACTAAATCTCAGTTTTCTCATCTGGAAAATGGACGTAACTATACAAATAGGTTTTCTGAGAGCCAAAAAAGATTTTAAAAATTATATATATACATATAAATAAATCACCTGCTAAAGGACTTGGAAAGTAGCAATGACTAATGACACTGCTTTGCCTCCTCCCCTTGCCCCCTGCCCCAAGCTCCTCCCACTTCTCTACCAACTTCTCATCCCATATCCTGAGATGGTTTCAACTGAGCCACGAAAGTTCGAAAGGGGCTCTTTCTGCAGACTACCCTGGTTTCGTTCTTTCCCCAGACTTATCTACCAGTAGTTGAACAGACCACAGAAACCAAGTTATGTTGTCTAAAACACAGCAATACAGGTGCTACTTGGATCCTTCACGTCTTTATCTTTATATTCTTGAACTTCAACAGAGATGTCATGAGGACTCCACTGCAGAAAGGTTGAACAAAAATAACCTACTGTGTGATTCAGTAATCAAGGGTGGCTCAAACTTGTAGCAGATACTACTAGCTGACAACCAATATATAAAGCTAAACTCTCGAGTCTTACTTGGTCACATAAATGGAACCATGGCTGTCCAGCCAATGACTACCTTTCCCAGCCACCCTTGCAGCCTAGTGGATGCTCATGTGATCAGAAATGGCATGGCCCATTTCCACATTATGCTCCCTCCACGAGAATGTGAATGGATTTATCTGGTTCTTTTCATTCTTCCACCCCACAGGCTGGGAACTGATGAGAACTAGAGGACCAGCTATCTTGGGCCCAAAGTTGGAGGCTGCGATGTGAGAACAGCAGAGCTGCCCTGAGAGTCACTTATCTCTATTCTATCACATAAAAAGGAAATAACCTTCTATCTTGATGAATCCACTGCACTTTTAAGTTTTATTTTTACAACCTCCTGGCCAAAACACTAAACAATACAGAAGTACTTCTACTGAATCAGGTGTAATGGCTTACCTGATGACAGCTTACTGGAACTGTAAACAGTAACTACAGGAAATAAACATCTTTCTGTGAAATGAGCACATAAGCCTTAAACTTTAAAATGTCAGCTATTGTTACATGGACCTTGTATCTGAATTCTTTTCACCAGGTAACCCCCACTAGTCACCTGCACCTTTACTATGCAGCCAGTGCCAGAAAAATGCTGGAAGTCTGAAACCCGAGAGCCCTAGTCAGCAACCACTGGCTCGTGTTCCAGTTTCTGTCCAGTTTCTGTCCTGATGTTTCTCATTTTGACCTCTTCAGTTATTTTTTTCTGTTCATGACCTTGCCTGATTCCTTGAACCTAACTCACAAAACATTTTACTTGTAATGACTGTAAACAATCCAAACACCCGCTTCCCCTCTGTTTATGCTATTCCCACCTGATCTATACAAATATTTTCATTAGTCTAGCCCACTGTCTGAGATTCTATTCAGTGTGGAGTTTCACAGCCAATATCTCCACTCAGATCCTATAAGCCCCACTGTCAGGGCCTGCTAATCGTGGCCTACCCATCTAAACCCATTTATCTTGTTAAAACAGGACAATGTTCCTATATTTTAATTCATACTAAAAAAAAAAAACCACCAATATCCTCTTATATACATAGACATAATCCCTCTCCAGATTTTTAATATTTTACCTATTTTGCTGTAATTATCTGCAACCAAGTCTTCCAAACCAATCATCTTCCAGAAACTGTTGTCCCAGCCTTTCTCTGCTGAGTATGTCCATTTGCACACCAGGGAGCAGAGAGACCTAAGAAAATGGGAGAGAGGCAGAACCAGTCATATGAGTGAGAGAGGTTCCCTTTATGCTCTAGCAAATACCTGCCCTGATAGCTTCAGTAGTATTAAAGAAGGAGAATATACCAAACTAGGTAATTATACATCTCTGTTTGAATCAAAAAGTCCATTGACAACTGTTAATGAGTATTTTCTTTCACTTTCAAAAGAATCTCAGCTCTTTATTTATATCTTGATTGAATAGTGTATATAAATATGTGTATATTTATTTATATTTATACATACACAACATTTGTGAGATAATTAGAAATTACCACACTGACTAGCTATTTGATGATACTGAGCATTATTAAAGTTTAGCTATAATATTGGTAATTGCCATTATATTTCAAAACAGGCTTCTGATCACTTAGAAATACGGGCTGGACTACTCATGCATAAAATGATATCTGGGGTTTGCTTCAAAATCATAAGAGAAGGGGAAGTGAATGGAACAGAATTAGCCATGAAGTGGTGGCCATAGCTCTGAGTGATAGGCAAATGGTATTTGTCACGCCATTCTGTTTGGTTCATGTTTAACATTCTCTATAATAAAAAAAGTTTTAAAAAGTGCCTGGTGGGACTTCCGGCCAAGATGGAGGCGTAGGTAGCCACACTGTGCCTCCTGGAACTACCAAAATAAGGTCAAGAAAAATTTAGAAACAAAAAAAACAACCAGTACTGACAGAATATTAAACTATATGGAAGTCCAACAACCAAGGAGTTAAAGAGGAAACATTCATCCAGACCAGTAGGAGGGGCGAGGTCAGGAGGTCGGGAGGCCGGGTGGAAAGGGGTCTTGGCCAAGTGGTGGCTGGCAGACCCCAGGCATGCAGGCGGTATCTGGCAGACCCAGCAAGTCAGTGGATTGTGGAGGGGTGAGGCACTCAAGGCGGCTGGAGGACAGGGTGGCCCCACATTCCTGTGCAGATAAACCAGGCAAAACTGGGGAGCAAGACAGACCACGCAACCCAGGGTCCCAGCGCAGGGAAATAAAGCCTCAAATCACTGATTGAAAAGACCTGTGGGAGTTGAGGTGCCAGGAGAGACTCCCAGCCTCACAGAGAGTTTGTTGGAGGGACCCACAGGGTCCTAGAAAGTACACAAACCCACCCACATTGGGCCCAGTTTGCTTGGGGGAAGTGACAGAAGTGACTGAAATCCAGCAGGGAGCCAAGCAAGCACCATTATTCCCTCCTGGGCCCCTCCCCACATACAGCGTCACAACCCAGCAACTTGCTTGCCCCACCCTGGTGAACACCTAAGGCTTCACCCCTCACTATATAAGGGCCGTGTCAAGACAAAAAAAAATGGCCCCCAAAAAGGAACAGATCGGAGCTCCAGAAAAAAATACAGCTAAATGAAGAAGAGATAGCCAACCTATCAGATGCACAGTTCAAAACACTGGTGATCAGGATGCTCATAGAATTGGTTGAATTTGGTCACAAATTAGAGGAACATATGAAGGCTACACTAAGTGAAATGAAGGAAAATGTACAGGGAATCAATAGTGATGGGAAGGAAACTGGGACTCAAATCAACGGTGTAGACAAGAAGGAAGAAAGAAACATCTAATCAGAAAAGAATGAAGAAACAACAATTCAAAAAAATGAGGAGAGGCTTAGGAACCTCCAGGACATCTTTAAATATTCCAACATCTGAATTATAGGGGTACCAGAAGGGGAAGAGGAACAGCCACCAGTGGAAAACCTATTTGAGCAAATAATAAAGGAGAATTTCCCCAATCTGGCAAAGGCAATAGACTTCCAGGAAATCCAGGAAGCTCAGAGAGTCCCAAAGAAGTTGGACCCAAGGAGGAACACACCAAGGCATATCATCATTACATTAGCCAAGATTAAAATGAAGGAGAGAATCCTAGAAGCAGCAAGAGAAAAGGAGACAGTTACCTACAAAGGAGTGCCCATAAGACTGTCAGCTGATTTCTCAAAAGACACCTTAGGGGCAAGAAGGGGCTGGAAAGAAGTATTCCAAGTCATGAAATGCAACAACCTACATCCAAGATTGCTCTATCCAGCAAAGCTTTCATTTAGAATGGAAGGGCAGATAAAGTGCTTCTCAGATAAGGCCAAGTTCAAGGAGTTCATCATCACCAACCCCTGATTATACAGAATGTTAAAGGGACTTATCTAAGAAAAAAAAAAGATAAAAAAACATGTACAGTAAAATGACAGCAAACTCAAAATTATTAACAACCACACCTATAACAAAAACAAAAAGAAACTAAGCAAACAACTAGAACAGGAACAGAACCACAGAAATGGAAATCACATGCAGGGTTAGCAACAGGGAGTGGGAGGAGAAGAAGGGGGGAAAGGTACAGAGAATAAGTAGCACAGACGGTAGGTAGAAAATCGATACGGGGGGAGGTAAGAATAGTATGGGAAATGTAGAAGCTAAAGAACTTATAGGTATGACACATGGACATGAACTAAAGGGGGAAAATGTGGGTGGGAGACGGTGTGCAGGGTGGAGGGGAGTAAAGAGGGAAAATGGGACAACTGTAATAGCATAATCAATAAACTATATTTTTTAAAGTGCCTGGTGTATGAGTGTGTATATACATATATGTGTGTGTATCTATATGTATATATATTTATATTCATCACTCTAGTCTAAATGATATTTAATAGGGGGAAGACTTGACTGCCGGAAGGTGTTTTCCTCTCCGGCTTCATTTCCCTTCCATTCACCTTTAATTTTCTACATGCCAGCAATAAAGTATCATTTGCAGTTCTCTGAAAAAAAAAAATCACATTCTTGCACAATTTTATGCCTCTGCCGCACTCCTATTTGGAGCAGCTGTTTCACCCTGGTAACTCAAATGACTCCTTTGGCCTGGGCTGAGTCCCCAGTTCTGGGTGGGTCTCCTTCTCTGAGCTCCCAGAGCAGGCAGCTATCCTCTATCATAGCTCTTATCACATTATTTAATTAACTGCTTCTTTATTTATCTTCCCTATAGTCCCACTGACTTCCAATCTGTTCTCCATGTTGTGCTCAAAATTCATAAAACAAAACCTGATGCTATCAACCCCTGATTAAAACCCTTTGGCTGTCCCTTACTACCTTCAGGAAAAAGTCCAGCTCTTCGCAGGGCTTAAAACACCCTTCGTGATATGACCACGATGCCTTCCAGTTTCCGCTGGCCATCCCCACCCCTGCCTGCTCCCTTCCGCACTACCAAATTACGTAAAGCTTCCCACAGTGGGTCTTGATTTCAGACTTCCCTGTGCATTGGGTTCTTTGCTCCATTCTTTCCATAATGTTCTTCCCTGTTTTGCATCTAACTCCTAGATAGAATTCATGACTCTGCTCATATTCCCTTTGCCTGAAGCCTCAGTGAAAGGCAAGCTGACTACAAAGCATCTTCTTCAAGTTCCAAGATATCCTTATCTACCATATTTTCAGACTATAAGATGCACTTTCCCCCCAAATTTGGGAGAAAAATGGGGGTGCATCTTATAGTCCGAACGTAGCTTACCTGGCTCGCTATTGCGGGGGAGGGGGTATTGATGGAGCAGGGTCACAGGTATTAAATATTTTACCATATTTTTTTGAAGCAAAAAATTTTTTTCCTATTTTTTCCCCTCTAAAACCTATGTGTGTCTTATGGTCCAGTGCATCCAACAGTCGCAAATACAGTAATGACTTACCATTAGAACTGCCTTTGCCCATTCACTTCTCCATCTCTCCCACTCGATCAGCAACTCCTTCATAGCAAAATCAGCCCAAATTATCTCTGTATCACGAGTACCTAGTTCACATTCAGCCATACGTCAAGCCACAGTGAAATCCGATTAAATGGAAGCACTACAAAATGCTTTGCCCACCTTGCCACAGGCAAAGGGTAAACCTAGATTGCTCACGCAGTTTTAAATAGAAACCTATCTCACACAGCCAAGTAGGTGCATCTCATTCAGCCATACACATGGATTCACACACTTACTCATTAAACGTTTAGTATTCACTTACTATGACCCTGGCACTGTTCTGGACCCTGGGAAAACAGTGGTATGTAAAAGACCTGATCCTCTGCTCTTGTATAAGCTGACAGTTTAATTAAGGAGACAGAAACTGATCAAACAATCATACCAAAAACCACATACTAACAAATAGCCAAGTAGAGAGAGAAAAATGAGAACCTTTAGGAGGAATGCCTGATTGGACCTGGTAAAAGGAAAAGGGAAAAGAAGTTTCGAGAAGGGCTCTACAGAGGAGATGACGTCTCGTGAGGTCTAAATTTTGAAAGCAAACAAATTTATGATTTATTACTAGTGAATTCCTTTTCAGATGTCACATAGATGGCAGAACACGATGAGCTGAGCTAAATGTCATGGATACACTGAAGGAGTGACAGTGCCTGTAGAAACTTAATACACACCGGTACGTGCTAAATCCTTCACCTGCTTTAAGCAAGGTAGGGTTTTCAGGGGGTATAGCAAAGGCAGCCATCTGTGTAGCACGTTCTGAAGAGTACACAGCAGGCTAACTCCTCCTGGCCCAATGTCTGAAATTCCAGCTCCTTGGAAGTTCTGAGAGCTCAGTGGAAAAGAGCAAGTCTATGGAAGAAAAGGTGACGTGGAAGGATCCTTCTTAATGATCAAACCATGCAGGGCAACTCTTCACTCCCAAAATGCCCCCCCATTCATGTACAGATTTCCGTGCCTCTCCTTTGGCTGCTCCTTAAGTCTGAATTGATGATAGCTCCTTTCACTCATCCCTGTCTGCTTGACAAACTCCAAATCAGCTTTATGATCCAGCTGCAAAAGTTTCCTTGCTTACCTCCAAGCTAAACAAACAGCTCATCCCCTGGAGCTGATATTAGAGCTTGGAAATACTGCACTGTTGTTCTTAACAGCTGAGGGAAGTTGAGTTTATGGCCCCCAGTCTATGGCTCTCCACATATGCACTCTCTGCCATGTAATCTGTGGTGCTTTGCCTTCTCCTCCTCTCACC